TTTTGTGATAGTTTTATAGGAACTGGACTATTGAAACGACCCGCTTTTCGAGAGACTTGAGGCAAAGACCGTTACTCATTGACCTCCAAACTCAAGCATGATAGGACTCTCTATAGACAACTGCCCACGTGTGCCCATAACCGCTACATCAAGCTCCACCTGAAAGAAAGTTGAAGTATCGGGGATGGGTATATAAAATATACCCATTACGCAGCTTGCTGATAGTTCATATTTCATTATTAAATCTTTGATCTTCTTCATACATTCGGTATCTTATTCTCTTTTTGGGGATTCATTCCCTTGTATAGGCTTCTTCCTAGGCTACACCCTAGGTTTGCTCATTCTACTTTCTCTTGGTTCTTGGTCCTATCTAGACCTCCAGCCTTCGGAATATTCTTAAGTTCTCTAGGTCTCCTTGTTAGTCGTTGTTGCTAGTCTCTCATCATCGTCATCATATCTCAAAGACCTCGAGGTGCGACCTCAGTATAGATCTCATAGGGTTCATGCATGTTAAGACTCGACCAACTCTAAGGTGCAACTGTGGACCCCTACCACTCATGATAGGATCACCAAAAGGAAGCTAACTGGCAAACTTCCTAATAGTCCCCACAGACACAAATCATAAAACATCATGTGTTAGTTCTATGGTTATCCGGCCTGTCTACTAATTGCTCTGGCGGCCTGTACATCTCATATACCAACGGTCAGGAGCACTCATTCTCTCTGACTTAGCACACAGCGCGTTGGTCAGGAACTCTGCGAGAATTAGTAGACTACAATACTCATATAAATAAGCCATGACTCAACAATCTATAAGCATATCTTAGAGTCATAACCTTTCCATTAACATGCTTAGCATACTCACATCTGATGCATGCTTTCATACGTTTATAATGTTCTACGCATAGAACATTTTAGTAATCATGTATTACATGCTTACATCATAGGCAAACAGTCACAATATACAATTAGACAATCAATATCATCACAACACGTATTAACATACTAAACTCTTAATCAGGTAAATAACATACTTACATGTTGTAAAACAAGTTAAGAACTAATTCAAAGATCGATATGCTACTTGGTTTCGAACTCCTTTTCCCTTGGATGTACGTTTAATAGGGTATTTCAACACAATTCCTTCCAATTAGACCTATATTTCACAATTTCTAAAGTAAGTATAGACCAATCATGATAGGACAGGTCAAAAGGAGTCGAACAGGACAAACCGGAAGTCAAGGTGATTTCCTTGTCGGGGCACAAGCTTGAGATTAGAGGAACGCTTGTGGAAACTATCAGCGTTAGAAGCTTAAGGGATAAGCCATATTAGGCGTTTATTCGAAGGTAAGAAAACCCATATCACTAAACCATGAGTATTTCCAAAAGATTCACCAATTTTAACTCTATTCCCCTGTTTTTCTATTTTTATTTCATTTTTGTTCTTCATTTTTAATCTCACACCGCAGCTCTCTAATTTTCCACCGCTACAACAATCTCTACCACCCTACAACACCCCACATACCTCCGTCTTCCTCTATTTTTCCCCCTTTAATCCACCTGTTCCTTCCTCCTCATCTCCATCTTCCTCTCTTTTTCCCCTTGAAGATGTGTTCTCCTTAACTCGTAACCTATTCTATTGATTGATTGATTCTTGATCCTTAATCCACCTGTCCCTTCCTCCTTTCTCCATTGCATTGCAGCAGCTTCTTTCTTTCTTTTTTAACTAATTCATTTATTTACTTATTTCATAATTACCATAATAATAATAATTATCATTATTATTATTAATATCAACACAAAAACATACCTACCTAAACACATATTATTTTATTTTTGGGTCATTATATATATTTTTCGCCTTGGCTTTGTGCCTTCGTCGAACCTTAGGCGAGGTTTGTCTTCGCACTCGAACATCTCTTGTGCGGAATCCAAGCTTGTTCGACCACACACGCCCCCTGCGCGTGCATGTTCAATCGTTTGCGATACAATCGACTTGCCTCTACACTAGGCCAAGTCATTTGGCTCGACCTTGCTTCTGCTCAGAGTCAAGGTCTCTTAATGCACTATCGCGTCTCATCTTGTCATCTCGATCTCCATCGACATGGCCCATATGTCTTGACACCATCTCGAGTCTTGAGGTGTCATCGGCCATCACAACTCACTCGGTCATGCCATCGAGAACGGGCCTGCGTGTCACTCATCTCATCGGGACTTCCAGAACATCCATCCATTCAAGTTCTATCGAGGCATTGGTCCTCCCGTGCCCATGCCATGTCATTTAAAGATATCGTGCCGGATAGCGAATGTATGTAGCAACATCCAACACGCCGGCTAAAGCGTAATACCAAGACACCTGTATCCTCTGATACTATCCTTAAAAAACTCATTTTAAAAGAAGTTTGGACCTAAAAAGAGTATGGCAAAAAAGTAAATTTTGAACACAAAATAGTAATTAGTGAAAAGAAATGTTAACATTTCAAAAATTTCTTTCCACTATTTTCAACTATTTCCTTTTATTGTTATCAAACTAGCATGGAACTCCAATCACATCAGAGCTAATTAACTAAAATTTTTAATTAATTAATTTTTATTCATTAATTATAGGTCACTCCATCATAGATTTATAGTCGAACTCCTATACATTTTTGGACAAGTTGTGTCTATGAGTATAAAAATTATAGGCAAGTGACTTGCCTAATGAGTTGTTTGTAATTACAGGTGGGTCACAAGTTAGTTTTACCCCTATAATTACATTTTTCATCTTGAGTACCACTAATTCTCTCATAAAAAATTTATTGAATTGGCTAAAAAAGTCATTTGCACTCGTGGAAATAAAAAAACAAGTCTCCACATACAAGAGTTGTTGAGTCTCATCATCTTTGAGTCCGTAGTTGTCTGCTATTGTGTTTTTTAGAGGGAGGACTTTTGGGCTAAGTTCTTTGTTAACTTCAAGATGAACCCACATAACGGTAGCAAGTGGAAGAAAAAGAAGATGACACAATATCTACCACTCAAACGTGTGAATAGATCTGAAAATATTATTACTCAACGAAACAATAGAAAGTTAGGAATGAAAAAATAGAATTGAAATCGAAGGTTCAATCTTTAATGGTTTAAATAGAATACAAAATACCAACTAATACTTACAAATAATAAAATATAAACTAACTAAATCTAATAAAATAAAATAAAATAAAATATACCGCTCTAAAATATTAATACGAATATATATATATATATATATATATATACGCGCAAGGGTCACATGAATGGTCAGCGTTGACCAGTCAAAGGCCAATTTTTTTACCTTTCCTCTTTTTATGGTTTTTAACCCTCTCCGAGTCCGTTTTTCGAGCAATTTTCCCTAATTTTATTCTCTTGACTTAATTTAGTTGAGGAGTTCGATGGAATTTGGGACTTTTTGGAAGAACCGGAGTGATGCCACTTTAGATTTAGCTATGCTCATAACATGTATGAAAGTAAGATATGAGAAGCATGTCATCGAAACTTGAGCATGAAATGAGTTGGTTTGATGTATGTAACGTTAAATGTTAAGCTGCACGTTTATCGATGAATAAACTGTTGAGCTATGATGTGATCGAAATTGGAAGCATTTCTTTATTACATGTTATAGGAAAGTGATTATACAAGTTTGAGTATAGAACGAGCTGAGATGGCACAAGTCGAATGATTATATATGTTTACTAAAACGCGTACGCAAGAGTTAAAGAAATGAATGTACGACTAGGTATCCATGTTTAAATTGCTATGCCATGTCACTATTTCATATGTGATTTATGCGGTTATATTGGGACAATAGGGGTTCACCAACTAGCCCCTAATTGTGAACGTGACTCGATTGTCAGGGGTCCGAATAACCATAGAACTGACTTACGATATTTTATGATTTATGATTGTATCCCGTGGGGACTACCATGAAATTTGCCAGTTAGCTTTCTGTAGTGAGCTTATCACGAGCGACAAGGGTCAACGTTGTACCTTATGAGTTAGTTATGAATATCGTTCATGCATGTAATTTATGTGGTTATATGGGGACAATAGAGGTTCGCCAACTAGCCCCTCATCGTAAACTCGACTCGATTGTCAAGGGTCCGGATAACCATATAACTGGCATATGATGTTTTATGATATATGATTTGTGCCCTATGGGGACTTTTAGGAAGTTTGCCAGTTAACTTTCTTTCAGTGAACCTGCCACGAGCGTAGGGGTCCACAGTTGCACCTTAGAGTTGGTCAAGCCTTAACATGCATGAACCCTATGAGTTATATCGAGGTCGCGCCTCGAGGACTCTGAGATATGATGATAATAATGAGAGACTAGCAGAAACGACTAACTGGAGACCTAGACAACTTTAGAATATTCTGAGGGCTGGAGGTCCAAAACAAAGTAGAATGAGAAAAGGTAGGGTGTAGCCTAGGAAAAGCCTAATAGGAGGGGATAAATCCCCAAAAGAAAATAAGATACGGAACCCATGAATAAGATCAATAATACTTAATAATAAAATATGAACTACCAACAAACTAATTACTGAGTATATTTTATATACTCATTTCTGCTACTTCAACTTTCTTTTTAGGTGAAGTTTGACGTAGCGGTCGGAGTCACATCTGGGTTGTTGGCTACAGAGAGTCCCATCACATTTGAGTATGCAGTCCCTTATTCGATGCATTTTAAATAGTTTGATCTTGTAGTAGTGTATTTTAGTGGTCTCTTCTTGTTTCTTATTAAAATAAAAAATTAAAAAAAAAAAATTCGTCATTTGAGTAATTAAATTTCAAAGTGCATGTGTTTAAAAGTTTTAAATTTTACTAATTTTTCTTATTTCCACATCATTGAGTAATTATCCCTGACTCGAGTCCCTCAAAAAGTGGGTCGTTACATTTCTCAATTAACAAAACGAGAGATTAAGTATTTTATGGTCTAATCTTATACAAACTCATTATATAGAATACTCACACTTATATTATCGGGTGGAATTCCACCCTTTCTACAATGGCGGGTGAACACAAAAAGGCCATCAGCTTTTCGCTTTCCTTTTCACTTTTCCACTGAATTTCGAGGAGATCATCCACATTCCTCAACTTGAATGGTTACAATATTTAATTAGGGAAGATCCTGACATCAAAATGTTAACCATCTCATCCTTCTCATCTTGATCCCTTCTTCTCTTTCTTCACACCCCGATCCACATTAGCCTTCTTCTCTTCTCAAAATCCATGGCCGATTCCCGCAAGAAGACTATCATCGACACTGACCCTGGCATCGGTAATGTTTTTCATTTCGTTTTTCTCATCGATTATGTTTAACACAGACCTAAATTGCTCCATCTCTATTCATTTCGATCCTAATTGAACCGATTTTTCAAGTCCATCTGGTTGGGGCAGAGTATTTTACTGATGAAGTTAGTTATATATCTGTAGATGATGCTATGGCCATTTTTCTGGCTTTACAATCCCCAGAGTTGGATGTGCTTGGACTAACCACTATTTTTGGGAATGTTTATACTACTCTTTCCACAAGAAATGCCTTGCATCTGGTGAGTCACTTATGAATAGATAAGAATCATACCTTTGCTTAATGTTGTTCATCTCTTGTTTTTCTTTCTCTTACTTTTTTGGTTCCCCTTTGCTTGTCTCATCTTAATTTTTGTTGTTTCATCAGTTGGAGATTGCTGGTAGGACTGACATCCCAGTGGCTGAAGGATCGCATGTCACAATAACTGTAAACTCCATTATCTTACATCCACTGCTTCTCGTATCATGTGCTCTACTTGTTTAGTAGAGTTTTGAATTTGATTGTTTGAGTAGGACTTTCTTCTGTCAAGGTGCTTTGTCTAACATCT